ATCATAGAATGGTTTGGGTTGGATAAGACCATAAAGTCATCTAGTTCCAATACCCCTACTATGAGCAGGGACATCTCCCACTAGACCAGGTTGCTCAAGGCTGCATCCAATCTGGACTTGAACACTTCCAGGGATGAAGCATTCACCACCTCCTTGGGCAACCTGTTCCAGTGCCTCACCACCCTCACTGTAAACAATTCTTCCTTATACGTAATCTGAATCTCTCCTGTTTAAATTTCAATCCATCACCCCTTGTCTTATCGCTACAGTCCCAGATGAAGAGTCCCTCTCTGGCATCCCTGTAGGCCCCCTTCAGATACTGGAAGGCTGCTCGGAGGTCTCCACGCAGCTTCTCTTCTCCAGGCTGAACAGCCCCAACTTTCTCAGCCTGTCTGCGTATGGGAGGTGCTCCAGCCGCCTTATCATACTTGTGCCCTCCTCTGAACTTGTTATGATATCTAGAGGCAGACAAAGCAATACTGCATGTGTTTGTCTTGGTTTTATACCCTTTCCAGATACTGGATACTGCTTAAGATGGGAGGAGACAAACTTTTGGCCTGGATGTTCTCATTCCTGATGAGTACAGAGCTGGGTGGATTAGCTTGTTTTGGAAGTTCGTTCCACCCTAGCTGCCCAAACTCACTCTTTATTTTGTCACAGGATTGCTTACAGGCATTTTAAGATGCATCCAGCTTTACTAGGCTGGTTCCTCATGGGCCAAGGGCCACACACATGGGTTCACCAAGCCACGGCGGTGCATGAAGCACAGCAATGTGAGCCTACAGCATTCTCAACTAAGCATTTACATAAAAGGCTGGTGCACTGCTTGCTCATCCTCCCTTCTGAGTGATACCACCCCTGCTTTATGTGTGAAGAGCGAGAGGCGTCCCTACCCTGGTCTTTGTGCCCTGGGAGGGGCATCCAGCTCCATGAGCTAATGAAGCCAAAGACAGACAGTAGTTGACAAATGCTGCTGAAGTGGGCTCAGAGGAGAGCAAAAGAACAACTCAGAGGCAGGAATGAAGGGATACAGATCTGAGTCCATGGGCCTCAGCATAAACCCTCTCCCGCTGCATTGCGATGGCCATCAGCGGAGTTAACCTTCCACTCTAATCACAATCATTAAATTCTTGCTTACGCCCCTGTCCTATGACTGTCCAAACAGCTCTGTTAACTGTCACCTCCCCACACGGTGAGCCCGGCTCCCCACTGCCGCAGCTCTCATTAATGCTGCTCTGGCTGGCTGATGAGGCAAGTGGCAGCCAGCTCCAGAGCCCAGATGAGTTTTGTAGACAGCAGGGGATGTTTATCCAACATGGAGGGGATGAAAGTACAAACAAAGAGAGACCGTACAATTACTCAGGGATTGCGCAGGGCCAATATCATTAAAGATGGTCTCCCTGACAGGAATTAATCTGAAGCGACAAGCCAGTGAGCTAATTTAGCAAACACGTCTGGGGCTTGGCCCTGTGCAAATTTCAAGGGTCTCTCTGGCAGGTAGAGCTGAGCCTGCTCCAAGGAGAGGAAAGACAGGAATGTGTTAAACTGGCCTCATTCTGGCCTGAGTCTGTGTATCAGAAGTTATGGAGGAGACAGCAGCCTCAGGTCTCCTTGAGGGGCACAATGAAGATTAAACTTCTCTATTGCACCAATACCCTTTCCTTCTTTTTCCTGCAGCCTCAGGTCACGGATGGGTTCCAGCTCATTAAGCGCGCAGTAATTCTGCCACTGTTCCCTGTAACTGTAACCACCAGCCCAACTCAGATCTTCCCTCCATCATGCAACCTGCTTGCAATACTAGATGGCTTTTCATTTCTCTTTAATGTTAAAGCAGAGCCCTGGGAGGGGATAAAGTATACAGAGAGAAACAAGCAACTTAAAAAGCTTTTTATTTTTTAAGCAAAGATCTGGTTTGGGGAGGCTGCTTTGAGTCCCCAAGCAATGAAAAATATTTTCAGATGCAGTGCAGTGCCCCAGTGCCTTTCTATGCTACGAGAATACATGGAATTAAAAAAGATGACCAAACAGCCCAAAAGCCTCATGGCATCTTCTTGCAGCTAAACCACCCAAGGCTAAGTTCACTGGCTAAGGTGAAGTAAGGTGGTCAACATTTCGATCAGTTGCCTTGCAGCAAGAAAGGAAAAATCTCCCAAGCTGTCAGAACAGACATCTGAAGCTCCTGCCACTCCTCAGAGGGGCTCTGCTTCTCTCTGAATTGCCACTGAACACAATGCCACTGCCTAAGCACACCTGACTGATGCACGCCAGGAATTAAGAGCCTCTTTGCTGAGACATACATCTGAGGCTTTACAATGAGCTTGCTCCACATTGCTATCATATGCGCTTTGCCTGGGTCAGTGGCTCCAAGCTGTCAGGCTGTTTATTTGGTTTTAATCAGAAGTTAATTCTTATTCTACTGGAACTGGTATGTCTGCTGCACTGCTCAGCCAGCTCCACAGTGGCAAGAACAATCAACTCCTGTGGAATTGTACCTGACTGTCTTGCTGGGAACCTCCATGCATCGCTTAGGAAACCAAATTCCCCCAGACTGCTTGCAATCCCCCCAGGAAAGCCCAAGCCCAACCAGCCCTTGGAAACTGTTGAACAGGAAGAGTTAGAGGAGCCACAGCACCAGTCAATTAATAAGCAGCACTTTTACTCTCACCCAGCCCATTTTCAGCAGCTGCAGCAAGCAAATCTAATTGAAGGGCTCCCAGGTGCCTTGCAAAGCATCCTGCTACTTGGGGATCTTCACATTACATATGCCAAGAGCTCTTCAAGTAAACCAGGGAAAGTGAAATGAAAACCAGCAAACCATTTTACAACCAGTGCACATCCCAGCTCCGCAAGAGTTAATCCCCCCCAGACAGCCCCTCACCACTCCAAGACTGCAGGCTGCTGCCACCACATTCATTCATCCTTAAGATGCTGAAGAGCATCTGCCAGCACCACTGAGTCTGGGGAGCTTCTAGGGCTGGAGGAGAAGGTGGGCTAGCTGGCTGTGTAAGCTTTCATCAGCTTGATGCTGGTAATAAATCAGTGGCATCTGGCTGCATGTAAGGCCTGTTTTATTTGAGGAGAACATTCCACTTCAATCCTAGCTCTCTGGGAGGATATTTGTACCCCCCCAGTCAGTGCCTGGAAGGGAGTGTACCCAGTGAGGAGGGCACACATGCAAATGGCAGCTCCTCATTCAGGCAGACAAATTCCCTTTTAAGCTTTCACAGTTATATTCAGTAATGTCACTATGTTCTGAGGTCCAGTGATGGAACAGCAGGATACAAAGCTTAGCTCAGGTGCCCCAGCATGAAGAAGGTGCAACAAACCAAAAAAGCCTGTGAGACAGGAAAGAGGGTGATGTCCCAACAGAAACCGTGAAAGGTCAGGAGATGTCACAAGGCTGCTTGGAGCCCAAGTGAGACATCATGGGCGAAACATCAGGAAGACAGGACATGGAGCACAGAGGCAACTCTGGGAAGCAGCAGGTTGGAGATAAGAGGGAATGCAATCCACATTTCTATTTCGTGGAAATGGAAAGGGCTCAGTGAGACCTCAGTATGGCACATTGAGGTAGAGACCTCACTGTGAAATACACCTGTAGCCATTGCCAAGAGCCTGCCATACATGAGACTGGGTTACAGCAGGGCCATGGCGTAACACTCCTCTAAACCACACTGCTCAATACCCACAACTATGAGGTGATGCTGCAAAAAAGCCATTAGGAGTAGTTACTGATGGGGTATGAACAAAACCAGAGGGGATTAAATTTGCATGGGCACTCAGCTTACTTCACGTCATAACTTAAAGCAGAAATGTGATTTTCCTTTTTGTTGATCCCTTTCAGTAGGAGCTCAATGCAGAACAGATCCAAGATTACTTCTAGGCACCGCACAAAAGGAGAAAAACCCCTCAACATCACTGGAGAAGGACAAAAATCACAAATTAGTTCATAGAGCTGCAGTGCTCATAATAGTGAAACTTGGCTCAGAGGGAAGGGGTACTATGACAAACTGCCTTCATTATTAGAGGCTCCCCTGTGTCCTGTATTATTATTAAGCACTGCCAATGTGCTCTATGCAGTTTGAGTAACAAACAAAGGCTGTCCCACCCCAGAGAGCTCACAATCAAACAGAGACATAAAATTGCAGCCTACTGTGCAGAACTAGAGGAAAGAGACACTTGGATCTTCTTAATTATTTTGTTTTCTGTCTACAGTAACAAACTTTTCCTCACAAAAGGCACTTGCTTCCAAGCTACCAGTGACTGGCAAGAACCACCAATTTTATGTGTCCTCACTTTTAAAAAATGTTGAACACAGCCATTTGCTGAGCATGGATGAAAGTACCTTGTAATCCTGCTAGGTTAATGTGCTCTTTAAAAACATCAGATTATTTTTCCCTAACCTTCTCTAACCAGTGATCTCTTCAGATTTCCCTCAGTTCTCCCTCCTCGTCCCCCCTTATGATTTCTCTTCAGACTCAGAAACCTTGAAACCCACTTCTCTTCCCCTGCTGAGTTTATATAGTCTAAATAGCTTCATTACTGTGACAGTATGAAAGCCCTTCTCCGACACAAACAGCCTATGACTTTTTCCTGCAGTTCCTGCCTGAAGAGCTCTTCAGCTTATTCCTTTTATTTCATATGAGTGAGGAGTATGGAATTCCACTTGCTTGGGTCTTTGGCCTATAGAATCTACAATACCTACTAATGACCGTGGGGTTTTGTTCACATTAAAACCCCATTCGAAATACTGAGCAGTCTGATGGGAGGCAGTAGGGCCTTGAAAGCCCTTGACTGTACTCAACACCAGGTGTAAAAACAAATGCAGAGCTGTGCACTTGGCCTCTCTTCCACTTGATGGGGAAGGTGCAAGACCATGAGGATCTGGCGAGTTCATCACATTCAGCTCTTAACCAGCAAGGAGACATGGATGCAACTGCATCCTGAGAGGTCCTCTTCCCAAGGGCATGTGTTGAGGACTCCAGAAAAGCAGACCTTACCTGCCGGACATCCAGGCGGTACTTCAGTATGGGATCCACAGCATCAGGCTCCTTCTGTGTCCACTGCAAGACGTATGAGTAATTCTTGGATTGCTTCTGGCTCAAGGTGGGGTTGGGAGTGTCATAGTAAAACTCTGGGCTGTAAGCCTTTGCTGGAGGGGGAAAATAAAAGGTGGAAGAAAGTAGAAGGGTGGGATAAAGGGGAACATAAATTACAAAGAGACATGGTGAGAGTGGAACAGCTCCATTTGCCCAGCTCATACACCTGCCTTTGACAAGACACCATTGCAGCTGGTGTTACACTGATGCGCCATCATTTTCTGTGAATCACGACTGCTTTCACAGCCTAAACTACTAGGACGGTTAGCAGCCTTGCAACACCAGCAGGGCATCACCGACACCAGAGAAGGTGGGAACAACTTCAGTTCTCCAGCTGGAACCAGCTCTAATCTTTTCTCTCTTACTTTGTAGTTTAGATTGAGGTAACAGCTTTAAACAGGCATTTCTCCTGTTTCATCTGCTGCTTTACAGAGTCTTCTGCTAACAGACCCTGAGGAAAGATCATTTGGCCAGTAGGTCATAGGAAAAGTGTTATTTATCACACAGGGACCATGGCATTATAAAGGAGACCTCGCTCCTTCTGCATCTCCCCTGCCTTGACAACACAGTGCTCCAGTCTCTTTCTAACATGACAGTCAACTCAGCAGCAAAGGGGATGCTGACCTCAGCTTGAGCAAAAACAGCAGGAGCTTTTGCAAGGATGGAAATGTCTTGTCTAAACCTACATCTCCCCTTAAAAACAGAGGGCAGCAGGAGGAAGGGAAACACAAGAGAAATGATGTACCAGAGAGAAACTGGATAGTTCAAAGATGGGATTTCCTGTCATTCCCCCAGCCACTGCTGACCTGAACCACTACCAAAGAGATTTCAAAGGCTGCTGCCATGCAGCCCAGTGGCTGATGGACTAATGCACATGGCCCAGAAGCAACTCAAGGTCTTGCCCACAACTGGTTTTGCCCTATTTGAAATTACCTTCATTTCACCCTCTGAACTTCAATTTTTGGCAAGTCCTGTCCTGGCAAGCGCTGGACCTAAACCAAAACTCTCCATCTGGTTTCAGGTCCAACCTGGACTTGCACAGACCATTAAGATGCCTGGGCAGCAAGGGATACTGGAGAGCAGAACAGACATAAACATCATCTCCCCAGGCAGTCTGTTGCATCTTTTGACTTGAATTCACAGGACCTGCCATTCTGCGTGGTTATAATTAGTCTCGACAAGATTCAACGTTTATTTTTTATTAACTCGGATAATATTGATGTTTATTTCCAAGTCCTTTTTTTCTTATTATTTTTATTGACTTGAATTTTTGCACAAGCAAGAAGTTTGGAACCACCTCAAAGACTAATTGCTGCTTATTCGACTTGTATTGACTGTGGAAGTCAAGCTTCATAATAGATTCTAAAATAAAATCAGAACTGATGATAATCATCCTCTTGCATGATATTAATTCCTTATTAATTGACTTGAAGATAGAAACAGAAGCTAAAAACCAGCATTTGAATAGAAATAAAGCACATCAAAATACTTTTGGAATTTCCTTTCCAGAAACTTACTATTGATGGAAAGTTTTCTCTTCTGCTTACAGCTGATGGGAAGAGCTGAAGGTTTTTCACTCCATCTTTCAGGGGTTTTCTGTGCTTGTGGCTAGCGAGAGTGCTGGTGGTGACTGGTATGGGCTGCCCTGACAACTTGCTCAAGAGGAGGGGATTGGATTCTCACTATCCTTCCAAAACATCTCAGAAAGTTAATCTCCCAACCACAGAAGAAACTAATCCCACCCTGGGCAGATTTATGTACTCTGTTTCCAGCATATCTGAACACCTCACAGTCACAAATGAGTCACTGCCTCCCTGTCAGATAGGAAGGTTTATGATACTTCTTTCATAGACTGTGTTATTCTCCCCACTCATACAGGAAGGCTGTGGCTGATGGGATTTAAAACCCCAGCAGTCCTGAGCCCAAGCGCAGCAATCTAGCCACTGGATTATTTTTCAGGGTGCTCTACAGGCTCAGAAGTTCTAATTGATTTCTAATTGTCCAGGACACAGGCAGAGATGTCTGAAGATGAAAAGGTACAATCAGATATCAATGCCGTGGAAACAGAGAAGGGAGGTAGGAAAATAAATGCTTGCTGCTTTCCTGATGAGTACTTTCGAGGGATGAATGCTGCTTTCTGCTGAGGGGATCGTATCTTATGGAGCCCAGCATGGCACACCAGGCAACAATATGCATCTGCTACTACTTCCAGCAAGAAATTCAGGTTCTGGGAACATTCCAAATCTTGCTAGGGACACAGTTTGCTGTAGTGGCTCAAAGCAGGATATGGTTTGCATCACTTAGTGACATGAGAGTTGCAAGCATATGAAGAAGGGGTAGAGAGGGCCAAAGTCCTCAAGCAAAATCCACTGCCAAACAAATTTCAGGAAATCTCAAGGCACGAGAGCAAGGTTCTGAAAATGCACCCAAACAGCAGAAGTGGTTTGGACTTCCCCATTTCTGAGCATCACAGAGTTACAGCATACCTGAGCTTTTCCAAACCCTGGGAAAGATCTGCTTCAAAACCAGGCCTCTCAGGATGTTATTCATTCTCCTTTGTTCAGCCCTGACTAGAAAAGTATTATAAATTGGCCCTGGACTGAACACCCAGCATTTTGGCTGAATTTATGGCTTATTAAGGCAACTTCACTGGAGAGCTCTTCTACAAACCAGCGCTCAAGTCAATTCTGGGGTCATGGGAAACACAGATTTAATGATCAGCTGGAGAGGTTAGGTCAGATGTGTGGGTTTAGATGCTATAACTCTGCCATCCCTCTTTGCAGGTGCTGGAGAGGAGTCCTGTTATGGTGCCTGTTGAATTCACAGAACACTCTGAGCAGCAAATCCACTGAGCACTAATACCCACTCCCAGCTCATGTTTGTCCTAGCAGGCATCATGAGACACAGGGAGACAGGAGACATAAAGAAGGTACAGGAATACATAATACAGGGGTTTTTGTTTGTTTGCTTATAAAGGGGAAATTAGATAGTTTGAAGCCTGTTGGGAGGATGTAGAGAGCCTTTCACTCCCTCTTGATCAATACCTAATAAAGGTTGTCCAAGCTTGAAAGCTGATGGGAGCCTTGAGTTTAAGTCCTGTATCTTTCAGACAAGTGGTAAAACACTGCTAAAATGTACCAGTGGCTGGCACTAACTGCCCCAGGTCCACCCCAGACTTGAAGAACTGCCTGAATGATGGAAGCAGATCTCCCTGTTTGCTTATGGAAAGTCATCCCTTCTGAGCACAGCACCATGTTCAGAGGAGGCAGTAGAGGCTGCCTGTACCAGCACTAGTTTATGGGAACAGGCTTCCCGCCTCCATGAGCTCATCCAACAGCTTGCCTCGATGTGCGCTCTGTGACTTACCAGATACCTGGAAGAGGCAGGTGGAGACCCCCACGTCGTTGGAAATGCTGCACTCGTAGCTACCACTGGTCTCCCGGCTGACGCTGTCCACCTTCAGCTCCGAATAGTCCTGCTGCTCCGCCAGTGGCTGCGCCAGAAGGGACCCGTTGAAGCGCCAGACGGACGTGGCCACCTTCATGGGGCTGCCCTTCAGCATGGTGCAGCGCAGGGTGACGCTGTGCCCCATGCCCTGGCGCACGTCCTGGAAGGCTGGCTCCACCACGGGGGGGACTGGAGACCAAACAGAGCAACAGACAGGGATGCCATCAAGTAACAGATACCTCGTTCAGCACGGTCACCCAGGGGTGCCTCTGAGGGGACAGGCACCTGGGATTTCCAAGAGGGTATTTATTTTCTAGCAGAAGCCAGGCTTCATAAAGCCTAAAGCAGCAATAGTCATCTGACATCCCCTTCTGACTGGGCCGGGGCCACCTCTCACCTCCCTCCTATTTACTAGGTAGGGGTGGCCTTTAGTAGGTACTGATCCCACAATGACATGGCTTGGAGGAGCTACCAAGCCCTGCTCTTTCATGTGAGAAGTGCAACTCCAGCAGTTGAGTGCCACAGCTTGCTGTCAATCCTCAAATATTAACCAGAATGACCATAGTCCTCATATTCAACATAAACTACACTCCCTGAGCAGGCAGGTATGCTCCCAAGAAGTTACATTCATGTTCTTCTGGTCAACATTTGGCAGGGTTATCTTCAGATGAAGATATATGCACTGACTGTCCCCATAGAGCACAGACCTCAAGGGGTGTTAGAAGGCCTCTCTCAAATACATCAACATAACACATTAGGGACTGGCTACAGGGACTCTGGGTCTATTTTTACCTCTGGCAACAACTCCATTACACTGGGAGGTGAGTCATGTCTCTCCATGTCAGCTTCTCTGCCAGTAGTAAGAATTGTGATGTGTACCCACCTCCTACGTAAGGGGAGGCTACTAAGTCTTGTTCTTTAGCACTTGTAAAAATTCACAGGAACCTCACAATTTGGGCATTATTGGGGCAGAGCAAGAAGACTGATCTGGACTGGTATTGCTTGTGTTACCCCTTATTTGATGCAATGGCAGAGGACTTCAGTCTTCACAGCCATCTGATGGACATGTTTCACTTGCAGTAAACTCTTCATTAAAACACTACAGCACTGCAACAACCAGAAGCTCTCCCTCTAAAAGAAGAGCTTCCTGAACACAAAACAGCTGTTACCATGAATGTAAAAGAGGAAGAACAGATTTATAGCAGCTCCAGCATAATCACAACTCACCTTCTCCAGGTTCAAAGCATCTCTCTTCCACAGAAAATTCTATGCACTACAGATCTACAAAGCACCTGCCTCCTCTAAAGGTCCACGGAGCTGCCAAGCATAGACAGGCTCAAAAACCTGTAACACACAGCACTGGCAGCACCACAGACACAGCTCCACCAGGAACCATGGGTTACACAGCATCCCTGCTGCCCTGAACATAACCGTGCCCAGAGAGCTCCAGCGCATCAGTCACTCCCCTCCCATAGCCTGACCCAGCAATACCCATCTACAGCTCTATCTCCATCTTCACCACAGATGAAGGCGGTGCATGCACCACCCTACAGGTCTGCATGCACAATGTCCCGTCTCCCAAGGTCTGCATCTGGGGGTATATAGTGTGCAAGCATCCCCTCCACCTGCCAGCCCTTGTTTGACAGTGTCTGTTTTCTAGGTACCTGTTCCCAGCTCTCAGCCTCCAGGCCCTTGGCTGCACTTAAGTGTATTAAAAACAGCCCTTGACTGAGCTCGCGTTGCCGTGCTGAGTGGCATGGTCAGCTCATTACAGATGGCTTTGCTAGTGATGTGTCTCTGCAGGTGCTCCAAGTACTGACTTGCCTTTGGCTCACACGTCTCCCACCTCACGGTGAGAATAATGTGAGAAGTTGTTTGATTAGACCTAGTGCCATGAATGTGTCATCTCCATCCCTAGCTGCTATCCCATTTCTTGGGTCACATCTGCTCCTTAATTGAAGCCAGTGAGGTCTCACATTATAATCAAGGCTAGCTGGTGATGTAGGGGGGAAGAAAAAAGGAAAAAAAAAATAGAAAAAGGGGAGAGAAAGAGAAAGGAAGGCTTAAAAAATGGCACAGCAGCTCCAGATGTATGCAAAGCAATCACGAGGAGGACAGAGAGGGGTGGGAGAGCAGCTTCCCTCACTGCATCTGAGTACAGAGCTGGGACAGGGAAGACAAAGGTCTGAAACTGGACAGAACACCCTCTGCAAAGACACACGCTGCAAGGAAAGTGTCCTCCTGGACCTCACTGAGGGAGTATCTGGGGCTGGTAAAGGGTCACAGAGAAGCAAGGCTGGGACACTCCAGATGCTTCCTTAGGTCACAGAAACATCAGGGCAGTGAAGGATGCAGAAGATATTTAATCTTCTTCAGCTGGGAAATGGGATTTACTTGATTTGCACTGGAACAGGCTCTGGGCCTATGTTACCACCTTGCGACAGGAATGGCTGGAAGAGCTA